ATTATTTGGGGTCCTTGGACCCTTGGGGTTCTTGATGCACGAATCCGGTCTGACCTCACTGCACTAGAATACCGGAATCTCCAAGGCATAGGGTACTCAGGGTCAACCAGGAAATACAATATGTACCCACAGTCATATGAGGTTTGGGGTCGTTCCCTAGATACCCCGATGCCATACTGGACCGGGTTGGAAGCTCCCTAGGAACTATACAGCACATGTAGGACGACTTAGGGGCCTTAGGGGGCTTGCAGCCCTGCATGCCCTGCTAAAGATGCGGGGCGGCTGGCACGGGTTTGCACTGGGTTCCTTCTCCGTGTCAGGCTTCTGCGACTGACCTCCACCCTGTTTGCTGACCGCGTCCGGTGCAGATGCAACTTCCCCAAAGAGGTCAGCAGGTTTAGCAGCAGCTGTAGCTTCCCCGAAGAGGTCAACGGGCTTCACAGGGGCTGGCTCAGGCCCAGGCAGGGAAACAGGTTCATCGAAGAGGTCAGCTGGCTTCGCAACAGCTGGCTTCGGTTCAGGCGCGGAAGTTTCACCGAAGAGGCCTCCGGGCGTAACAGCCGCTGGCTTCGGCTTCGGCGCAGATGCCGCAGATGCGGCAGACGCCGGCAATCCCCCAAAGAGGCCAGCAGTCTTAGCAGCAGGCTTAGGCTTAGGCTCCCAATCACTGTCGGAGCCAGAGCTCTCTGAAGAGATCCTTTGCCGGAGAGCGGCCAAGCGGCCCGCTGCTGTGGCTTTCACGGTCTCGCGACCAGACTCCACCACAGGCGCGGCAGTTGTGGAAGGTGCAGCTTGTGTCTCAGGCATTGCAGCTGGCTCCGTCATCGTGTCAGCAACAGCAGGTGGTGTCGCGGAGGGTGACGTGGGTGCCAGAGTTTCGCCTAGCGGCGCGGATGCCGGTTCTGGTGGAACAGGCTCCTTGACCGCTGGTGCGCCAGATTCTGTATGGCTGGGCTTTCCCAGTATTGAGGTCACCGACGTCCTAGGAGCATCGTCATCATCGTCAAAGATTGATGCCATCACACTCTTCGCACTACCTCCAAACAGAGAAGTTCTCTCGGGCTTATCTGCAGCTTGGCTGGTAGGAGCCGGTGGCTTGGCAGCCCCTTCCGGCGCTTGAGCGTTCGGTGCCGCAGGCGGCTTCGTGGGCGTGTCAAATAAGGTGGCCTAGACCAGTGCAAGCGCTTAAAAAGAAATCCATAATCACAGGGCCTAATACAAAGATGGGGGTGGTGTTCAAAACAAAACCCTTATGTAACCCTATTATAATATAGTAGTTTCCATTTTTCCATTATCCCTATAACCCCAAGAACAAGGCTCATGCTCAAATCTGCCTCAGTCACAACTGCGCTCGCTGCTGAGGCAGGTCGCGGGGGAGGCTTGTTGCCAAACAAGGATGCCGTACCCGCTGCTTCGGGCTCGTCACCTGGATCCCGGTTCTGCCGCAGGCTAGTAGAAGAAACATGCGCCCTCCTCGTAACCAAGTATATACTTTGAGGGCATGCTTGACTTGGCCCATTCCCTTGCTGGCTAGCAGCCATGCCTCTGGGTTACTGCTACCATTCGCGCTTTCCTCTAATAGTAGGCAACCCCGGCCAAGCCCTAAGGTTGAAATTGTGAGGGCTCTCGAACATTTTTTGCAGGGCATTTCCGGAGTGCTTCAATAACCTGAGTTGCAAAGTCTGGAGCTTGAGACTAGTAATGGCCTAAAACTCATCCTAAACCGTAAACCCATCAGCTTGCCGGCAAGGGGCCGAAGAGAGATGCTTTCCTCGGGGATTAAGGTTTAGGGTTCGCGGTCTGGGGTTCGGGGGTTGAAGGTTTGGTGCTCGGGGGTTTAGGATGGCACTCTTTGGTTGGGCATAGGGTATATATATATGCATACATGTATATGTATATGTATATATATATATATACCTCTGCCTCTCTCTCTCTCTCTCTCTGTCTGGACAGGTTTTAGGGCTTGCAGAATTGTGGACTTCATGGGCCTTAGGGCTGAGGAATTGGGGTTTAGACCCAAGGTTTCGGGGTTTAGTGTGCTTGCGTGGGCTTGGGGTTCAACATCTGAATGCGTGGGTTTTGGCGATATTTTGGCTGCTAAGAAGCTTTAAATGGAGTCACCGCCACCAGGAATCGCTGCTTTATTTCATGCTTCAACAACCCCAGCATGTCTCTGCAGAAAGCCAACATGCTCTCGGATCGGATCTTGAAACCCCGTTCTCAAAAAAGCCCTCACCCAAACAAACCTGGAACCATTGAGAGACCTACAAAGATGATCCTGGGGAGGTAGACCGCTGTAGGGAAACCTGCAAGCAACCAAAAGAGCTCTAGGAAGTGGAGATCTAAACCTAACATGTGAACCCTACATCCTAAAAACCCTACACCATACACACCCTGAACCCTAAACCAACCACCCAAAATCCTCATCCTGCCCCTGAAGCTTGGGGGAGGGTACATGAAGCCTCTCCAACAGCGGTCTAGGTTCGCGATTGCCGCGCTTCCCTGGGGAAGTCTCACAGCAGGGGACTGGGGTTTAGGCTGGAGGGTTTAAGGTCTAAGGTTTAGGGGGTGCCCTATGGGGTTGCTTTGAAGGGGTACAGGGATGTGTAGGGTTTAGGACTTTGAGCTTGGTGACTTAAGGGATATATGGGGGAGGATTTTGAGGAGATTATAGAGGACCCCTTCAGAAATTTTGTGGGCATTTCCGAAACAATTTAGGGCCCCCTCCTTTCTTGTGGGACTTGCCAGAATCAAGGACCTCTAGCACCCTGAACCCTAATTTTGAGAAACTGCCACACCTGTGGAGCCGACTTGGGCTTGGGGACCGCCGCAGGCTCGCGCAAAGCTGGAGCAGGATCCCGGTCCTGGAAGAATCTTCGTTTGCACTTTCAATCCTCAACAGAACCGCCAAAAAGCTCCCCACAAAGGAGCAACCCCAGAATCAACCACGGCGACGCTAAACCCTTCACTTTAAAAAACAGCTTCCTAAGCCCTAACGCTTACTATGACTGAAACCCTAAACCTTAAACCCACGTCCAAAGCCCTGGAACCTAACCACACACAAGATACAACCTAAACTCCAAACTCTAAACCCTCTACCCTAAACCAAGACATTAAGTGAACCCAAAAACCCTAACCCCAAACTCCAACCCTTCACTCCGAAATTTCGTATTAGGGGTGGGTCTAATATTAGGGGGAGGTGATTGAGGACTATAGTATGTTCGGGTCTTTGTTGCGGTCCCTTTATTTTGGAAACTACCCTATTCTCTAAGCCTTCTCCTGAAACAAGGTGTCCACGGCTGTGGGAAGCTTGACAGCGGCCTAAGTCCGAAAAGCCGCACAACGCAAAGGTGCGGAGTTTAAGGTTTAGGGCTCAGGATTCAGGGTTTAGGATTTAAGGTTTAAGGTGTGCCCTGGGATTTCAAATAGCCCGATGTAAGTAATATTTACAGACTTTACGGCCACATGTTGGTATTGCTTGTATACTTGCATCTCTCGCAGGGTTAGGGGTTCAGGATTTATGGCTCCCAGGCTAATTAGGGTTCAGGTTTAGGGTTCAGGAGTTTTAGGGTTTAGGGCTTAGGGTTAAGGGTTTCAGGGCCAAAAAGTTCAACCGTGGAAATGGTAGGATTTCTGTTACCTTTTTCCTCTCTCCCTAGGCCCTTGAACATGAGAATACTGAGGTTCCAGCTCTTTGGCTGCTACTGTACGGCTTCTACCCTACAGTACAACCCTAAAGCCCTAAAACCCTAAACCCTGAAACCTAAACCCTAAACCCTAAAACCCTAAACCCCCTAAACCCAAAAATCTAAAATTTTGGCTCCACGGCTTACGTTTTTTGTGAAAGCTTGGTCTGGAGGGAGCGTCGGCCCTATGGAGGGATCGCGCGGGAATTGAAGGTTGTGTCTTAACAAGTACATAGGGGAGTTGAGGGCTAGTTAGGACTCACTCCGTCCTTACTAACTAAGGTACCCCTACCCCGCCCCCTAAAGCCTAAACCCGAAACCCTACCCCACCCTTATGCCCGGAAGGGCTCGAGCTGAGACTTTGTTCGGAATATGTGAGGATTGTCATTCCCAAAGGGTCCAAAGTACCTATATGGTACAAAGTATGGTTTATGTAGTCGTATTTCCCTTATGGTTTGGGTAAGTATTCCCCATGTGGGTACTTAGGCCCCTTTGGGATTGTATCGTACAAAGCTTTTGGGGGCAAACCTATTCCTCGAGGGCACTGAACCCTCAAACCCCAAAGCCCAGTGCCTAGCGCTCTCTAGGCTCTAAATTTCTAAGCCGCTTAACCCCCAACCACTTACGTCCTTCACTCAAAGCTCAGGGTTTAGGTTTTGGGGATTTAAGGATTAGGGTTTAAGGGTTTAGGGTTTTCTCCGGACCCTGAACCCCTGAAATCCCTAGACCATGAAATCATCCCAACATCGCACCCCGGAAAGAGGCGCGATACACAACAGCCTTGCATGCTACATCCCCAAACCCTGAACCCTCAAATCCCAAAATGGCAAGAGGCTTTTGGCTAAAATCCCCTGAAGATCTG